ATAGGTATACATGAATATTAAATGTAATTTTTTCAAATTTAAAGTCCTTCGGCCCTACCAACAGAGTTGCAGACAATTTATATTCTTGCTGCGGATTCTGCTCCCAAAAGTATCAATGGCTGCTATGGAGAATCATATTGAAAAGATTCTCTTCACAGAAAAGCAAATTTCTCAACGAGTTTCCGAACTTGCTTCCCAAATTACCCTCAATTTTTCTCCATCTACCAACATTGGAGGAGGACCTTTACTTTCTTCTTCTTCTTCATCGGCTCCGGTTGTTGTCGGTGTTGCTACTGGTGCATTTCTATTCCTAGCTGACCTTGTTCGCAAAATCAACCTTCCCATTTCTGTTGATTTTGTTCGGGTCGAATCTTATGGGTCGGGTACTGTATCCAGTGGCAAACCCAAGATTTCTTGCGACTTGAAAATTGATGTTACTGGAAAGCATGTCATTTTGGTATGAATATTTTTGTTGGATTTACTGTGTTTTTGTGAGAATTCCCTTTTTGAGGCGTGTTACAGTTTGTTAATTTGATATATTATAGTACTTTATAGGGAGAATATGTAGCTCAGTTGATTAAAAATGCAATCTTTATTCAGTAAATGGTTAATATTCTTTCTGTCAACTGAGATTTTGTACTGCTAATTTCTAGGTATTACAATTTCTAAAGTTTTTTTCTGTTTTGGTGGCGCAGCAAGTATATTATTTACTACTGAATTCAGAAAGACTCTTTGGTAAACAAAGACGGAGCTAGGATTTTGAGTTTATAGGTTCTGGATCATAGAAAACTCAACTTATTGGGTTCTTGATTAATTAATTAGTATACATGTTAAGTGGATTTTTTAACACAAATATAAAGTTTGAGCCAATGCTACCGGGTGGGCCCATCCTGCTTGTAAAACTAAACATTTCTTTGTGTGCACTTTTTTGGCTTGAGAAAAGATAGAAAAAGGGGCATGTCTAGTTGTGGGTGGACATACAGAAAGATTGTTTATAACTAGTGGGAGAGCAACGGAATTGCTCTTTTAGTGATTATTTTGATAGTTTATCAACAATTGAGATGGAACATTTTACGACTTGACTAAAGATCACAAGTAAATCTTCCATAGTTCCATTTATACCTTATGATTTTGGTAGGTTCAACATAAGCTACGTGTTTTCCAGTAGATGTTAGGATTCAGGGGAGAACCTCCCCGAGTGTACTAGGGTCCTGCTAATGTGGCTTTCGTTCTGTAAATATGTTGGCTGGTTAAATTGTTGTTACCCCCATCTATTGCAGTCATAACTGCTCCTAAATGGTTGTCCTAGTCCCCTACTTCCTTTCGCCAATAATGAGATTTATAATGAGAACCCCTATTTTGGTGTGTGTGAGATTTGGTTGCAGTGTGTACAATTTTAATTACGTGTATCTATCGGTTGAAGTTGTGAATCCTGTATTTAAGTTGTATAATCATATCAGTGACCATGTATATAACTAACCTGCATATCAGCATACTGACATTTTATTTGATTAATTATTGTTCTGAATCGTGTTCAATTGGAGCTGATATTCATGGCGCTTCTGACATTTCCCTAGGTTGAGGACGTTGTGGATACAGGAAACACGTTGGCATGCCTCTTTGAACACTTGAAATCTAAAGGGGCATCCTCCATATCAGTATGTACTCTCCTTGATAAACCATCAAGGAGGAAGGTTAATGTCGAACTTGTGGGAGAGGGGAAGTTCTACTGTGGTTTTGAGGTAATGTCTAACATTCTCTTTGCTGTCCTTCATTCTGGCTGCACGTTGGATCATGATAGTGTTATTCATCTAATGATTTCAAAGCATTGTAATTATATAATTCAGTGCCTCATATTTGATTGCGACAGTTTTTGAGTTTTTCTTTTACTCTGTCAAGCTTCGTTAACTTTATCGTGTCACCTAGACACTAAGAACAAAAATGACAGACACTTCTTTTGTCATAGTTCTTTTATGCTGCCCAAACTCTCCAACAGAAAATAGACAAAGTAAAAAAGAGAAAGGGAGAACTATAATAATCTCCCTCCTGAACTAAAGAGCTAAAGCATACTTTGGAAAATAAGTATATTTCTCTACCTATGAAATAATCACTGCAGTGAGAAAAATTTCTTGTCCATGGTGTGAAATTGGCAAGTATTTTGATATATGTTTCTAGATTGTGTGCTCTTTTACTTGTCCCTTCAGCATGAGAAGAGTTGAAGTTATTCGTTGTTATAATAACCAGTACCTGCAAATGACAAATAGGTCAGGTCCCGCTAGTACATTGGTTAGTGTTCATTCATGCAGTAAAGGCAAACCAAGCATGGCTTTTGTAAATTGATGGCAACATTTTAGCTTTCTTGCCCCATAACTAAATTGAGAATATGAGATTTCTCCGCATTTGCAGTAATCAACTTCAGAGAAAGATACTATTGGCAAATCCAATTTTGAGATATTGCATTACAATCGATTAGAGATGGTCCATTACAGGTTTTTATGTATAGCCAGCTTATACTAACATGTTGAGAAAGCAAAATGTTGTAGCTTGTATTTCGAAAGCTCCTGCATCTCCCCTTCCCATGGGAGGCTCCCCTTTTCCTCAAGCAGAAAAAGATTATCGAAAGTCTTATTTTCTCTTTAAAGTTAACTTACAATTTTCTATTTCGCTGAGAATCTTGGTGCATATAATTAACCTTTTATTCATTCTTGTTTCAATTTGCCTGCAGTGTCCAGATTATTTTGTGGTTGGCTATGGGTTAGATTTTGCTGAGGTTTATAGGAACTTACCCTATGTGGGGATCTTGAAACCTGAAATGTACAGTTGATTGCTTTGGCGCAAATAATTATTCCATACAAGGAAAGCTCTTGATTTTCTTGGATACAATCAACCTTTAGCTGATCAAGGCAATTGATAGCATTTTTTTTTCTTTACCCTTCCCCCTGCTCCGCCCCCTCCCCCTCCCGCCCCTCTGGTGGCATGCGCCAGCTATTATTGTAATATACTTACAGCTGCATATTCAGCGCGTGGCTACTCTCAGATTCCTTAGAATTGAACTGTTTTCCTAAATTTTGTCCATTATTTTTCCTGTCTCTGTGGTTTTTGTTTATCTGTATGGTTAGAATTTGTATTCTTATAGTCTATTCTAACTGACATACACTTTATGAATATGCAAGATAACAAGATATGGAATTTGATGTACCTCTTATAAAGTACAGATGAAACATATAAGTTTGTTCACTACTTTGGTCAAGTAGGTAAAGTAGGCAAAGGAGACACATACTTTCTTGCCTTAGATCTTCCTGTTCATTTTGTGGTAACATTGTCAGATCTCGTTTAACCATAGGTCTCAGGTTTTAAAACTTTAGAATTGAAGAAATTCCTGGTATGAATCTGAATTAATTGAACTAGTGAATATTAAATACCAGATGACTTGGAGAAAAACCAAAAACATTGATAGAATGTATCATTATTAATTGCTCACTTGGTTTTCAATATATTATAAGAACAATTAACAGAAGTAAACAACACTATTCTTTCCATGTAAGAGCAAGAGGTCGTGGAGTTTTGGGATCAACTAAATTCCCAGCAGTATCATATATTATGACACCAGAAAATTCAGGAAGCTGACATTTTCCTCCCATGATTATATTCTTCTTCCATATTGCAACTTCACCACTGCATGTGCTTGGATCAACACCTTCAAAATGGTAATTCTCATTAATCTCTTCATGATTGAGCTGAATAATAGGGTCATGGCGATCACCATAGCCATAACATACTCTCAACTTTCGCTTCCATTTCCTCGAATGGCTGGCGCACATGAAGAGCGCCAGTGCACACAGGAGCAACGTTCCTGTGGCAAAACCTACTTGAGATAGGCTAGTGAACTTGTTTTGTGTGAGTAGTAATAGTGCGCGAGCCATGAAAGAAGTATAATTAAGTCTATCCTAATGGGATTTTTTTTAGCTGAATGACTGGTATTCTCAAATATTCTCTGAATGGACGACAAATTCAGGTTTAATTGGATATTGTAACTGCAGAGGATATGGTGTGCGCTTTATATAAATGGCAGGGTAAGATGGGGTTGTTGACTAATTTGGAGATTAGTTGCATCAACTGTAGTTTTGTCCAAGATTTGGAGTAATTTGTTGCAATAGTTGATTAAGTGTAGTGGTTTTGGTGAGATTTATTAGTTATGATTTTTTTAGTTTGTGGTTTCAGTTAAACTTGTCCAATCTTACAAATCATGATATTATGCAAACGGTTGAGGATATAGTAAGATGTACGCAGATTTTAGCGGTATTTTTGTGGATTAGAAAATAAGGACGGTAAAATAGTAAGATAAATGGATAAAATGATGCAATGAGTAGTAATAAAAATAAAAGAATATGATACTGCAGAAATACTAAATAAAAGAAAGATGAGAAGAGGACTGATTCAACCTACTATAATCAAGTAGTTTAATAAAATAAAAGAATATATAAGTTAACCAATCATGATTAAGTGAGTATATATATATTCAATCACATATTATATTTCTATTAATTTGATATAAATATTCGATAAATTAATTTTATCATTATACAAGTTGGTATGTGGCTAATCAAACCCACATAGTTATCCAAGTGAATAAGCATCTTCCCGTAATTAACCCTATGTAAAGAGAAAAAACGTAAATAAATAAAGGGTGCCTAAATAAAGATATGATAATTCTGTAATTTTTTCAAATAAATTCATGATTTTTTTTTCCCTTTATATCGAAAAACATCCCAATTCCCAAGTATTTGATAGTTTGACCTACAGTATATGCAATATATTCATATCAAAATTTAATATTCGTAATATTGGCTAAATGTTGACTATTCTAATTGAAATAATAATTTTCACATAATTTTTTTTTAAAATTCATTTAAATGTAGTTCATTGTTTTCAACTCTCAAATACATTTTTTAGCTTTTATGTCCCCCCTACACACATACATTTTTTTTTAGTTTAACTAAATGTGGTTCAAACGTCTAATAATAATCTGTTTGGCCAAAGTTTTTAAAAAGAATAAAATAATTATTTGATTTATGATTACTTTTTAGAAAATATTTCCAAACATTAAAAAATATTTTTCATAGTAAGTACTTCCTTTGTCCCAATATTTAAGACTCATTTTACTTTTTAATCGATCCTAAAAAGAATGACACATGTTTATATTAAGTAACAAATTAACTTTAAAATGTTTATTTTATTATTAATGAAATGGTTTATAACCACACAAATACATATCGCTTATTTTAGATCAAAATTTCAAAGTGTTTTTTTTCTTATACTCAAACTATTAGGGCCCGTTTGGCCATGTGATATGGAATCATGATATGTTAACATGAGATGAAATTGAAGTTTTGTTTGGACATGCGATATGAAATTTTTGTGTTGTATATTTTTTCATAAACATGAAAATCCCATAAGTTGTAAAATTATTAAAATAGTCCTCAATTGTTTATTCAATCTAATCAAATAAACAAAAATTTATAAAATCGCATAATAAATTATTACAAAGCTATTTGTTCTCCACTTAATTAAGTAATTGTTTCATCTAACTTTAATTTAATAAAAAAAATTGAACATAAATTGTAGTGTACTAGTCTTTAATATAATCCTCCCACATAGTACGAATAATTTTCTCACGTTGAACTTGCATTTCTCGATCATGTGATCGAGAAGACGAACCAACATTGTTACTTTGAGCCATTTGTTGGTCAATAATAAATTTTATGTCGGTGAGAATAATAAATTTTATGTCGGTAATGATGTGATTATAAATTTTATTTACATATGAAATAAATGGTTGGTAGATATAAATGTGGGGTTGTTTTAACAAAATATAAACTTATGAATTAATTTTTGTATTAAAATATCTCAAATTATGATATGAAATTCCCATATAATTTCATATCATGATTTTTGGAGAATATGGAATCACATCTCATAATATGAAATTATGAGATAAAATCAGCGTAAAATTGCATGTCTAAATGTTAATTCCATCTCACGATATCATATCGTGATATGATATCTCATGGCCAAACGCCTACTAAGTCAGGGATCAAGGGAGTAGTATATTTTAGAAAAAAATTGACTTTACAAGTGTCTTGGGCTTTCCTCGTGTTGCTTCTGGATCACGTCCCAAATTTGGGGGTTTAACCACCAAGAACAGCAAAGGAAGGGTTTTGCATTTTCTTCCAGCACCATTTTCTTGCTTGTTCAATCAAAATGCATCGACGTTCATCAATTTCTCTCTGTAAATCGCTTCTCAGACACCCTTTTGAGAAATCAACAATACCCAAATCTTATTTTTCCATAAGAACTCTTACATCTCTCTCAAATTCATCCTTAAACCTCACGAAAACCCGACATTTTCTTGGTCCGACGAGTTCAAATTCATCAACCCAGCTCGTAAATTTTCAGAATTTAAGGCGATATAGTGTTGACACTAACAGGGAAGTTGATGTAATCAATCTTAAGTTTGCAGAGGCAAGAGAGGAGATAGAATCAGCTATGGAATCTAAAGAGACTGTGTATTTTAATGAAGAAGCTGAATGTGCTCGTGATGCTGTTAAGGAAGTTCTTGATTTGTATCAAGGGTTGTTGGGAAAGGTGACAGAGAGTGAAAAGGGGGTGATTCAAAGGTCTATGGGGCTTAAGATTGAGCAATTGAAGGCTGAGCTTGAGCAATTGAATGAGTGAATGAGAGGTGAGCAGTTTTTATTTTGGTTACGGTTTATTTTTCTTAATTTTAGTTTTTTTTATCAATGTATGAATACAATAACTTCAATTGTTGGCAATGAACAATGCAAATGCTTATAATCGAAATCGTGTGTAACTGGATGATGGTCTATGACTTGTCAGTATGAATTTTGTTTGATTGTTATGAACATTGTTGTAAGATGTGCGTTTCTGAAGCATTTTTTCAAGGTGGATAAATTTGCCTACCATGTTCCTATAGAATATGAATCTGATGGAGTAATTCTGCAATGCTCTTATGAATTCCGGTACAAGTCTGGATTGATGTTCATGTAGCGTTTATATCTCGGTTGTATGTAACGTTTCTACATAAAACTGGAGGAACGCATGCCATTTCTTCTTTGGTTGTCAATTTTGACAAGAGTATGCTGTACTCTCAGGTGAAGCTCATACCTAGTTAGTCGCATGTGTAAATATTTCATTAATGAACACAAATGACAATAATATGGACAGACAACTTAAACTTTGGGGTTTCCTATCAAATATGTAGAATCACAGGAAGGGAATCATCTGATTCGTTGTACTTCTGTTAATGTTTTGTGAGAGGCCCGGTAAGAAGATGTTTACTGTATGTGGTACTGGATAGATATTGTAGTCTAGCTTCCATTGCCTTCAAAACATATCACAATCCTTCTCCAGATTGTTCCACCAAATACTGGTAGGTATGGTGTGCCACTATCTCTTTTGCTGCTTATTTCTTCCCCTTATGTTCCAGCTCCTTAAGTCTCCAGTTTCATTTGGCACACACTTGTTGTTTCTCATCATATTTAGAAACAATTGCCGTAACTTATCACTGTTACAACCAGTGTTATTAAAAGCGAAAAGTGCAAAAAAAGCTCTAAGGTCCGTGGGGGCTTTAAGTGCAAAGCGCAAATAAAGCGTGGGATTTAATGAAAAAAGGCGCAAAGGGAGAAAAAAAAATGTGTGTTTAGTCCAAGACTAATAATTATAAACATGAATGAATATATGACCAAAGAAATTGAAAAAAAATTATGATAAAGTGAAATATCAATTGTTAAGTGCCACTTCTTCATAAGAGGCTCATTGACAAGGAAAAGTTTGTCTTAGAACTTTGATGACGACACTGAAGCGCACATAAAGCGAGGCGAAGCGCTCAACACGTTTTGAGCCTCACTTTAGGGCTTAAGCGCGCTTAAAGCGCGCCTTTGATAACACTGGTTACAACAATGTAAAAAACAAATGATTCACACTTTCTGGCTTGGAAGCACATAAAAAACATCTAGAGCATAATTGAAATTTTCTTCTCTGCAAATTCTCCTATGTTAAGAAAGCTCTTTTAGCCACCAAACATGGTAAACACATTTACAATCACTCTATAGGGAGCATGTGTTTTTCAGATCTGTCACTAAGGTCAAGAACAATTCTGCTGCCCCGCAGAGTAAACATTACAGAATTTAACAGTGAATTGACACTTGCTATTGATTTTCCAATATGGCTTATCCGGGCATTGAGTCAAACCTCGGAAGGGTTCCAGAATCAATAAAAGTTCAGCAAAATTCCCTCATCTCCCTGTCATTCAGATTCTTCCTGACATTGAACTTCCATAGCTCATTAGTTCTGACAGAAGCTATGCTTGCATCTTGCACCTTGAGACATATATTCATTTTAAATGGATACTTGAGCCCTTTTGATTGGTATCCTTATTGGTGTCTGATTCACCAGTCCTTGGTAGGCATCTTGGCATTAAAACCAGCAAAGCTACTTGGCCATGAACTATCTATCTATTTCTAGTATGAACTGCAAAAGCCTGTCAGGTTTGTTCGTTCTGGGAAAATCAGAGGAAGCATAGATCCTGCAAATTTTGCAAGGTGATTTGGATGAGTTGATAAATGGCAATCATTTTCTTTGCAGGATTAATGTTAGCGTGCTAAATAAGGGAAGATTCTTCAGCATAACCATATGAGCTTGCAACTGTTCAAGTCTACGAGATACTTTGTGCCAAGGCAGTTGTCTTCTGTGTCTGTCAAAATCTTAATAATTACATTCAGCTTGCCAGTTATGCTTTAAGTAGTCCTAGAAATATCTTTCATTGACCTAGATGTTTGAACTTCTTCCTTTCTTTGCCGAATTGAGCAAAGCAAATTTGTCTGAATGATGCAGTCATGAAGATGTATGTTCTTCCCATTTCAGAATATCTCAAAGTTGTGATCGACATCTGAAGTGTGCTTCCCAAGTGCTCAATTTGTATGAACAATGTAGTGTCACCTATTTGTATTATTGTATACATAGTAGCTGATTTGTTATATTCAATTTAGGAAGCGACAGTCTTATAATCACTGCTGTACTGAGGTTGTTGGGATTGATATATTCATTTATAAATGGTAACCGGAGTCTATTAACTTGAATCCTTTGTTAGATTTGCTGATTCTTATTAGATATCTTGGAATTTAAAACCAGCAAAACCACCTGACATGAATTATATAGAACTGCAGAAGTCTTTCAGGTGTGTGTGTTCTATGAGAATGCCAAGTTTTGACGTGCTCTTGGCTGGCTTAGTCTACAGTCATATGGCTGAGCGCCATTAAGCGGAGCTTTCTCAATCCTAGAGCTATTAGTGACATACGTATATGTATGTATATTATCGGTTATTTTATAAACTAGATCACTCAAAGACATTAGATTGCAATTATCCCTAATATATTTCGATTTTTAGTGCAATTTAAGGCATCTTTAAAAGTGAGAATAGCTTTTTCTTGTTCCTTCTAATTATTGTCATCTCATTTTTGTTTCCAAAAGTATATGCATTGCATATGGACAATGTCATTATGAAAGAGGTGATGGAAGTGATGGGGGAGAAGATGACAAAATAAAAGAAGAAGCTAAAACTGAATTCCAGGATCTTATTATAGATTTGGTTTTGACCAAAAAAAATAATATTTTCACTAGAAATTACCACACATATATATCGGACCTTCAAGTCATGTGGATAATGGAGATGAAGGCATGGTCTACATATGTTTGTTCCCTCCTTGTTTGTGATCACTTGGTCCTACTTAAATATTGATGAGCAGGGTGGAATGGATTTGAGCTATTAAATTAATCAACTAAACTTCATATGCAAATTAGTTGTGGTTGTTTATAAGAATCATTTTTGTGTTAATAATGTTATATTAGTAAGCATCATTTGGTTTACATACTAGTATTTATATTGATTTTCCAAAATTCAATAATATTTTATTAGCAGGCGACATTTGGTTCACATGCTAGTTATACCGGTTTCCCAAAACTCAATTATGTTTTGTTAGTAGGCGTTATTTGGTCCACATACTAGTTGTACTGATTTCCTAAAACTTAAAAAATGTTTTATTAGTAGGCGTTATTTGGTTCAATACTAGTTATACTGATTCCCTAAAACTTAAAAATGTTTAATTAGTAGGTGTCATTTGATTCACATATTAGTATATTGATTCCCTAAAACTCAATTGTGTCCTATTAGTAGGTGTCATTTGGTTCATATACTAGTTATACTGAGTCTCTAAACCTCTATTATGATCTATTAGTAGGCGTAATTTAGTTCTCATACTAGTTACATTGATTCTCTAAAACTCTGTCATGTTCTTTTAGCAAGCGTCATTTAGTTCACATAGTAGTATATTGATTCTCCAAAAACTCAATTATGTCCTACTAGAAGACGACATTTGGTTCAGATATTAGTTATACTAAATTCCTTAAAACTCAATTATATTAGGAATCATCTAATTCACATACTAGATATACTGATTCTCTAAAACTCAATTATGTTCTATGAGTAAGCGTCCTTTGATTCCACATAATAGCAATACCGATTCCCTAATCAATCATGTTCTATTAATTGACGTTTTTAATTCACATACTAGTTATACGAGTTTCAAAAGACAAATCTAAAAGATGGAAATCAAGGTTATGATGTTTTCATTTTTGGCATGATTCAGAAAATTCATTTTTCAGCACTTCTTGGGAATTTGCAAAAAAATCATTGATAAAATAAGTTATTTTTGTATTGAAACTATTAGTGGAACTATCAAAGGGAGTGACGATGCGATATGCAAAAAGAAAAAGACTCATGAAATGACAAGGTCAAATGGTAGAGTGGTCTAAATGCTCCCTCCACTTTTTCCTTCACAGAACATGGCTTTTTTGTTCCCCTTTTTTTTTGTCTCTATAGTGGCAACTATTAGACAGTTTAGTATGTGTCCAAATAATAGAGTGTTCCTCTGTTTACAGAATCTTGACTTTGAATACCTTTCAATGAACTATGCCATAAATCCTGCCTTAAAATTTCAACAAAAACAAAACATGGGTGACCCTATCTTTAAGATTTCTTGTATAGAGAAAAATCTTGAAAAATAATAAGTATGCAAGCAAATGTCTTTTTCATGTAGAGGAATAATAACCCTGAGGGGTAGCTCAGCTGGTAAAGGCCTGGGACAAAGTCCTTCAGGTCGCCGGTTCGAGCCCCAGCAGGGCCACTGGAGGCATTACAAACCGGCCGCGTCTCCAGGGCCCCGTGGAACTAACCGTGGTGGACCCGCCTTGAAACAGCGGGACCCGGTGGGTACAGCTAGTCGGGTTCGCAAAGCGACGCCCGGAAACCACGGTAAAAAAAAAAAAAAAAAAAATGTAGAGGAATAAGCCATTCCAAAATTATATCAATATATAAGTTTATCTTTCCTTCCTTTCCATCATTCGGCGATTAAATACCAGACTTTTGTCTACGACAAGATGCAAACCCCATGAGACACAACTGCCCATGAATTACGCGCTACACTCTTACCACTAGACTAATAGTCTCTAATGATATTACATGAGTATTATCTTTGGTTTTAAGAGTTGTTTGTTTTCTTCTTTCTACAAACAACTCAATGAACAAAACATCATGTGTTAGCAAAGCTCAGAGAAAGGCCACACTTCAAAGCATATGATGTAGACAATTTAACCTAATGCATTAATGCCTGCTTCCATGGTTTGAACCCATGAGATAATTTTACCGTTGCTCCAAGACTCCCCTTTGATTTTTTCTTTCTATATTTCTCTTTTCTGAAACTACTTTTAGCATCACCGGAAGGTTTGAAACCACATTCGTACACCAACAATACAATCTTTCTGAATAGGTCAAACTATATTTCTCTTTTTTTGGAACTATGGTAAACTAAAATATTATATGGTGCAACTGCAAGCATTTTGAAAGCTAAAATCTCAGCACAGAGATGGATAGGAAGAAATGAAGAAGCAAATAAACTACATAAATGTTTCTGAAATATGTACACAATGGACCCCAAGACATTATCCAATGCTTGGAACAATAAGTTGATCATATTGGGAACTAAAGAAAACTAATTCCTACTCCTCTTAGTCAAAAGCAAAAAAAAAAAAAAAAAAACATAACAAAATTAATCAACTTTGAGTTGAGGACTGTTTTATTAGAGGCTGAGAAGTTTTCCCAAATTCTTGATCAGGTGAACTCTTTACTTCCATTAGAAGTGCCACAACTTCCTTCATTGTTGGCCTTTCAACTGGCGATGAGTTGACACAGAACATCGCTATTCCAAGCGTTTGCAGCATTTCTTGGACCACTTGATCGGGTAAACCTTGTAGCTTAGTGTCGAGAACTGTAACAGCTGGTTCAAAGCTTCCCATTTTCTTCTTTACCCACTCAACGATGTGAAGCCCATCACCTATCTGAGAATCAACAGCGCTACGCCCACTAAGTATTTCCAGCAGCACCACTCCATAACTATAGACATCGCTCTTTTCTGTTATATTCGCTGTATATCCATATTCTGCAACCATAGTTGACAAATATTTGTGTCACACTCAACGAACTATGACTCATAAAGTAAATATTTGAAAGATGTTATGATCGATTTTGGCTTTTATGTTGAAATATTAGTAATTGAAAATATTCTAAGTGCATGCATACCTGGAGCAATATATCCATAAGATCCTGCTACACTGGACATAGCGTGGTGATAGTTTGGCGAATTCATTAGCTTTGCAAGTCCAAAGTCTGCAATATAAGCGTCAAACTTGGAGTCGATCAGTATATTATTGCACTTGACATCTCTATGAAGAATGGCTGGAACACAGTCATGGTGAAGATAAGCAAGGCCTTGAGCTGATCCAATGGCAATTTTGTACCTAATTTCCCAGTCCAAATTTCTGTTACTTTGCAAGAGCTGATGGAGATTGCCATTTGAAATGTAGTTGTAGAGAAGAAGCTTAACGCTTTTGTTTGAACAATATCCCAATAACTTCAGAATGTTTCGATGCCTAATATGTCCGAGAATTTGAATTTCTGCTGCAAAAGAATCTACTGGCTCCTCGTCTTTCTTTGTTTTCCAAAGCTTCTTCACTGCAATCACCTCACCGTTAGGCATTTCTGCTTTGTATACAACACCGGAACATCCTTTCCCAATGATGTTTTCATCTTTCAAGCAATCCAAGATGTTGTCTATGGTGAAATTGAACTTTTGAAAGGGGATGAAAGTCCAAGGGTAGGAAAAATCTTCTGCTCCTACCGAAGAGGCTGACATGCCTTGGGACTTCTGAAACACATATCTGTGGTTTCGCGTCACAAGAATCCATGTAGCCACGACTGCTATGGCTACAGATGTCAGAATCACCGCAACCAGAGCTATGGTTTTCGGTGACTTCAACCCATTCCTTCCCATTATATGTGAAGAACAACTATAACCATCAACTGATTGACAGAGTGAATTCTCCAGAAAAGAATCTGAAGTGAGAGTTCTAAAGAATGGTGTGACAGGAATAGGCCCCGAGAAATTGTTGTCTGAAACATTCAGGGAAGTAAGGCTGGTCAGGGAGCTTAGAATTGTGATCCTTCCACTCAACAAATTATGAGAAATATCAAGAGATTGCAACTGTGACAAACCGGACAATGTTTCAGGAAGTTCACCCGTGAAACGATTCAAGCTCAAATCCAAACCGATTGTTAAGCTTGTGACATAGCCAAGCTCAGATGGAATCTCGCCAGAAAGACTATTCGAGCTCAAATCAAGTAGAGTTAACTTCTGCAAGTTCTTAAAAGACTTTGGAATTGAACCAGTAAGCAGATTGTTACTGAGAATAAATTTGTTCAAGTAACTGAGATTGCCAAAACTTGAAGGGATCTCACCGGTAAAGCTGTTCCGGCTAAGATCAAGTTGCTCTAAATTCACAAGCTCCCCCATCTGGTGTGGTATTTCCCCAGTAAGGTAATTGTTGTGCACATCCAACAGCTCAAGAACTGTAATGTTGGCAATTTCAGAAGGCAAGCCTCCAGAGAAATGGTTCATGTACAAATCAAGAAACACGAGATTCTGCAATTGACCAATCTCCTTAGGAATCTGTCCTGAAAGCTGATTCTCACCAAGCCTCAACCTCACCAGAGACTGGCATCTCGCAACACTTCGAGGCAATCGTCCAGTTAACGAGTTCCCAAGGAGCAACAATTTACTCAGCTGCTTCAAATCAAAAATCTCCTCAGGGATCGATCCAGTGAGCTTGTTCCTCGAAAGATCAAGTGCATATAGCTCAGTACAGTTTCCAAAAGCAGCTGGAATGGTTCCTGAAACCAAATTCCCCCACAAGAAAAAACTCTGCAAGTACTTCAACTTACCAACTTGCCAGGGAATTTGCCCTGATAATTGGTTCTTATCTAGCTGAAGAGCTGTCAGGCTAGTGCAATTACTTAACTGCCACGGTATAGAACCGGTAAGTGCATTATCAGACAAATGAAGCTGTTCAAGAACCAATAGCTTCCCCAAATCACCAGGAATTTCACCAGACAATTCATTCGCAGAAACATCAAGAATCACAAGGGACGAACAATTCGAAACCTCAGCTGGTATAGGTCCAGTTAATGAATTTCCCCATAAAAGCAAGCTAGTAAGCTTTTGCAACTTACCCAACTGAGGAGGTATCGAATCAGTGAGCTTATTCATATGCAGATACAAGTACCTAAGCTCCGAAATCATCCCAAGTTCAGGCGGTATCGAACCAAATACTTCAGTATCATAAATTGCCAGTGTTTGAAGATTGATCAAATTCCCAAATGTTGGCGGAATAACACCCGAAAGACCAGTCGCCGCAACACCAAACATGGTAAGATTGGTGAGCAGGCCTAATTGTGCAGGAATTTCACCACTCAAATATGGATTTCCACCAATCCTAAACTGCTGGAGTGACACTAAGGACCCTAACTGTGATGGAATTGACCCATTAAGGAGATTATCTTGAAGACAAAAGATTTCTAATGAAGAAAGATTAGCTAACTCTGGTGGGATCTTACCAGTCAATCTGTTTGAATTCAAGAACAAGAACTGAAGTGAACTAAGCCCACCAAGTTCTGATGGAATAGAACCTGAAAGTGAATTAGAAGAAAGGTCCAAAAGCCTAAGATGAGAAAAAGAACCAAAAGATGGAGGGATTGTTCCAGAAATATTAGTAGAAGAAAGATTAAGAAGCTGCAAAGATGAAAGGGAAGAGAGTTCAGAAGGCAAGTAAGAGAGATTTAGGAAAGTATTTGGGATAGAAAGTGAAATAACCCTTTCTTGAGGAGAGCAAGTAATCCCTTGCCAAGAACATGGAGTTAAACTTGAAGGGTTCCAAGAAGAAAGCACAGAAGATGATGATTTAGTATAAGGGTCAACTGCTTTAAGCAGAGAAAGCAACGCTTGTCCATCAGAAGAAACAGAGCTCACTAAAAATACAATCTTTGGACTCAAACTTAACCAAGAAATCAACAAAAACAAGAAATAACATGAAGGGAAAGTGTAAAAATGGTAGCTTTTCTTCTCCATTATTGAGTGAAAATCAAAGTCAAGAAATGGGGTTGTTGAAAAAAATGATAATAGTGTTTGAAAGTTCACTCTAACAAGACAACATACATGTGGTGTGTTAATGGAGGTTTGCTTCAAACTCACACTAACTCAAAAAATTTACTTACCATGCATGTGAACTAAAAAGTTCTTGTTTATCTTTAATGAAACATTTACTAAACTGCTACTATTAAAGTTCTCTTACTGGAGAAAATCAGCACCTCTTTGCTCCTCCGTACACGGCGGCGCTAGCTAGTAGCTCACTAATGAAGGTGGTGAAGATAAATGGTCACTAGCATGAACCAAACACATTTGTCATTTTGCATTTTTTCATGACGGCGGCGGACGGTGGTTGACGGTGGCGGAGAGGATTTTGAGTGAGAGTGACAGTTCTTGAGAAACTAAAGAGCAAACAAATGAAACTATACATTTAAATATAGCAAAGAGATTATTTTTTTAAGTTTTTATTGAACAAAGTGATTTGTAGCGCCACAATAATTTATGAATACCACAAAATAATGTGTACTTGTTTATTTTTTAATTTTTTGGTTTTGGACTAAATTCCAAAGAGGACTAAATTGATAACAATAAAAGTTATTTATAAAATTGCGATTTAGAGATTGATTAATGTTGCTTAATTATTCTCAAGATCATTTGCTGTAGGCATATTATTATGGACCTGTTTCTCTTTTTGTACTTCTTGAAATTCCCTTTAAATGGAAAATATCCTATTTTGTTAACATGCTAGAAATATTCAATATTTCCTTCAAATTAATAATAAAAATAAGTTTATTTATATTCAATATTTATATATTTAAATTAATAAATATGATATATATATTATTTTAATATGATTAAATAATATATATTTTCAATAATCACAGTAACTAGTTATTTTTTATTTAATATTTTTCACACGATACAAACAATTTCTTCACATCAAACATAAATCTTGGTGAAAGGTTAAAGAGAGGGAATCGATTATGCAACAAATTGTCTATTTTCTTAAACACAAATAGTATATTATAGTTGCTTTGTTTTAATTTGTTTGTCTTATTTTTTCTTTAATTTGTTTAAAAATATCTTTCTTTTTTTGACAATTTTGTAATGTAACTTTTCACATGACATGTTTAAAATCACAAAATTAAAAAATATTTTAGTACATTTTACAAATCTTTAGTTCAGAAAATCATAAGATTCAAAAGTTCTTTTATTTACTTTCTTAAATTCAACAATTATGTTAAAAATCAGATAAATAAATTAAAACGAAGGAAAATATACTACTAACATTTTTTACATTAAAAAAATTACTATGTACTTCTTCCACGTCAAATGAATATTCAAATATTAATATGATGACTATGATTTAAGTAAAGGGCGTCTACATGGAGGAAAATTTAATTAGAGCATCTCTTTTTCTTTTTTGCTCTTTTCTTCCTATATACCCTTTTTACTTATATATATATATATATATATATATATGTGTGTGTGTGTGTGTGTTAAGATAGTAAGTTCAAAAATTTATTGTTTTTTACATGTCTACGTGGTGAAAATATGTAGTAAAAGATAAGTGATTTTGTTATCGAGGAAGTTGTAGTGGGTGTGTTTTGGGAGTAGAGATAAAGAAAAATGTAATCACATGACACAGACAATAAATATATTAAGGCACAAGTAACGATTAGGGTTTTTATTTTTACTGCCTTGGTTCTGCTTTTTACTCTTCAGTCACACTAGATTTTTTTACTTTTTTTTTAAATATTGACTCGAAGATTATCGAAAAAAACTTTTCTACCTTATAAAAAATAAGGTTTGTGTACGTTTCACCCTTCTCAAATCTTATTTGTGAAAATTAAATCTACCGATATTGTGATAAAGCTTTAGTACTTCTTCAGTCCTGTTTTTTCATAATAATTTGTCTTTTATTGATTCGAGACATTATTTATTAGGGGTTTATTTTACTAAATTATCGTTATTAATTATGGTTTGTAAATCAAAGTTTAATTACTACATATGTAATACTTTATATATTTGATGATTGAACATATTGTTTATACCTAATTTTACTAGTAATATTTTGAGGACTGGGATAATAGTTAATGTTTGTATAGTTTTTAGTATTCGTTTCAGTAATTACAATGGCTTTGTGGTAACAGCATCCTATCTAAAAATTTACTACACTGTAAAATGCAGTGATACAAAATAGATGAATTTACACTTTGAAGGTAAGATACATTATTTTGAACTTTGCTAATTTACAGTTTTCTAGTAGTGTATCTCATTTACTTCACTAATTATTGTACTTTTTATTTTCTAATATGAATTTTGATATCTATTAAGAGAATTATATCAATGAAGCAAAAGCGATAGATATAGGCATATTCAAAAAAATCATATAGTAATCTTTTTTTTTAACATTCCAATAAATAAATCATTGACGTCTTTTTTTTTAACTTCCCAATAAATAAACCATTGACAGTAAATCCACGGGCATCAAAAAGGAAGAGTAAACTTTAGTTAACCTTTTATATCCCTTACTAGTTAGTACATCTCCTCTTTACATATCCGAACCATTTCATATATATGAGTCTTACCTCCTTCATCTTGTCCACCAGGGAGTCATGACTCCCACTTTGTCTTAAATATCTCTGTTCTTAATCTTATTTCTCCTAATATGCCACACATCCATTTTTAGTATCCTTATTTCTGTTATTTTTTACATGTGTGAGTTTTTGAACGACCCACCCACTGTACGCGCAGAGATGGCTCAAGGGTAAGGCTAGTAAAGCATCTGCTTTAGACCCCATAAATTTTTAGGCTCCAAAAAATTTAATAGTGAATTGTATCATTTTAATTTCACATGAAACAATATTGAAATATTATAATATATATTTATTTTTAAGAAAAAGAAGAATTATCTACTTTTTATCAAGAATATTTTAGAACTTTGAACTAAACAATTCAAATCTCCATATTAAAAAATAAAGTTATTACATCAACATCCAACATGATGTATTACAAATAAATGTCTGACCTCGTATTAACTAGAACTAATCCTTAATTTTATAAATAATAATGTGAAGTTGTACGCTTAATGTCTTTTAAGAATATACACCAAAGCAAGTAGTATGCAAGAACAAAAAAAAAAGAGAATCCAAAATTAATGTAATACTTTTGTGCATGTATTTATATATTTAAGATCTCTTATTATAGTTTGTCTTTAGATCACTAATTTTTTTGACACGCTCTTGTATACACAAAAGGGTAAAATTAGAGTACTCAAGTTTAAAACTTTTTATAAATAGATAAAAGAATGAGTTCTGGTAGCATGATTTATTAGCCGGCACTAGCTAAATTGAGTAGATTCGACTCAATCAATAAGTCAAAATAAGTCTAAAAGAATGTCAACAAAATGATAATCTTAGAAAATTCAGATAAAATGTATATGCATTTCTTATTTCTTAACGTTGACGTATAGTAGTAAAATATGATATCATTGAAATATATAATGAGGATTCTATATATTCAAGACTTGCTAATTAAAAGTAAATTTCAATTCAATTTGGTAAAATATAATAAAAACAAAATATATTTGAAATTCATAACTATTAGACATATCTAAGGAATTAAAGGTTTAAATAGTTGGTGTCTTTTATTATTATTATTATTATTATTATTATGTTGGATGGGCGTTAGAGGGCCCAACAAGTTCCTTAAAAGGGTACAAAAGTCGGATACTATGGGTTCAAAACGGCACCAACTTACATATACTCCCACTACTTGTTAATTTCATATTTTTCTGATTTTTTTTATTTTTTTTTTACTCTTTTCTACCCTTTTAATAATAAATATATATTTGTGTATTACATAATTCTCCTTTAGTCAAATCATTTGAAATTTACTAATCTAATTAATTTGAATTACGCTAAAAAGAGAAAGAATAAAATAGTCTCTATCAAAATATTCTTTATTTCAAAGTTTGAGATTTGTTAAGACGGAATCCTAATAATTATCCCACCACAACCAACTAATCAACCCCACTCCTTGCAAAAAATAAATAAAATTGCTCCATCCTTTAGGCCTAGTTAAGTAATTTTTCCTACTATAAATCAAAGAACCTCAACTTTTAGGCTTATGAACCGGAAATAGATCACTTTATATGTTGGCCATGCTTTTATTAGATTCCAAGTTTATTAGTAGTATATTTTAAAAATATATATTAATTATTATTATTATTATTATTGAAAATATGTTATATGGGTTCTCAAAACAAGTTCCTTTGTCTCTTTTTTTTTTCTCCCCTTGAGGGTTGATTTTTTTATTATGAATGTATATAGGAAGTACTAGCAATAAAATATTTTTGGTCTTAAGTAACTCCTTAATCATGATGACCACGTTCTAATGAGTAATTTGGTTTACAAGCTTCACGTAAATATTTGTGGTGAACAACAACAACAATGTGCAAATATTTTTTCAATTCTTAAGTAATCAATAATGAAAAATGATCTTTATCTTAAAATGAATAATATATTGGGTAGAAATACGCTTGACTTGTGAAAGACGAGTAAGCAAGCCCACAGATTATATCAATCAGCTTTGGGTTGTCGAGTGACTGCTCTATCTCTTAAGAAAGGACGTGAGGGCCTAGCTTATAATAAAAGAGTACTCTCTTTTGTGGTGTGCGCTATATATATATATATATTAGGAACTCTGAGCTAGCTACTTGATCCCATGTTTAATTTCATTGCTTCTAATCAACTAGTTACTTATTGATATATAGGTAAACAATTGTTGCTTCGACCTCAATTTTCTCAAATGTCTTTTGGTTTTATACAGCCTTAAAGCACTACATTTTTTCATATTTTATAAATGAACTAGAAATGGTCTCTCTCTTCTTCTTTTTTTCTGAAACAGAGAGCAATTCTTTTAAGTTATTGTTTAATTTTTATTTATTTTTCAAAAAAAAGGGAAAAAAATAATGTTTC